TTTCACCGACGCCTTTTCGCGCGTGCATCAAAATCGCCAACAAAAAGGATACTCGCAATTTCGGTCCCCAATTAATTACACGCTAATGAAAACTTTGCGCGTAATTAAATATAATTTATAATTATAAGCGTCGGTTTTTCAGAAAAGATTTCAGTGCTTCCATCGTGACGATTCTTTTTCGCTACTTTCCCGTCAACTAATTAAACACAAATATCAAGCTACACTTAATTATTATTTCACAATTTGCCTTGATTGCATCTTTAATGCCAGAATCGAATAAAAGCTAATTAAATAACGTATTTGTATTCAAACAGTTGTGTAATAATAATCAGCGGCGTTTCGTGATTATGTCGATATCGCTGAGCAATAATTATTATGGTATTCAAATTACTACATGAGCGATGTTATATCGATATTATGGTTATAAAATTTCGTTAAATGTAAACATGACTGCGAGAATAATGTATTCATAAATGAATAATCTTTAATACAGTTAATACTTCTGAAAGTAGTTGTGAATAAAAAATTAGCAGGACTAAAAGTATGAACTCTCATTAATTTTCTCTGTAACTTTTGCACGTTGACTCATTCTCGAGTAGTTTAAGAACTCTAAGCTATTCCGAATAACTTTCGCATAAAAGCTTTACGATACGTCTTTGAAAAATATTTCTTGTTTTGACATAGCCTATAAAATGCTTAAGAAGAATTGATCAAGAGACGAGAGATGTTAAACTTGAGAAATTTCCAGACCAACAACAAACAATGCGAATTGGTTTCAATTGTAAGTCGATTGAATATCGCGCGCGTTTGACAGAATGGAATTTTATAACTGGCCGATGGCGATGCTCTCTTGCTTTCCTTTCAAGGTTGATAGCACTTGCCTCAATCGATTATCGCTCGGTACGCTTCGTTGAGTGTGAACAAGATTGGCAGATAGAATTTGCATTAGTATGCAACGAGAATTCTCCTTCCCTTCAACGAGAGAGATAACGCAGAACCTCGAAATACTCGATTATACAGTGACCGAAGAATTTACTATCAAAAAAAAAAAAATTACGTAAGACATTAATTTATTATTATTATTATAATTTTGGAAAAATATCGCAATAAATAATTTAATTCACTTAAGTCGCTTAAAATAAACGAATCATTCCAAGCTATATTCGGTAAATTTATTATGCATCTCGAAGATGAATCACAGCGTCATATAAAAATTAAATAGGTTTCAATTATTTCTCAGCAGATATATTCGCGACACGTCGTTTTAAAGAAACTTATTTATGTATCTAGTTAAAATAAAAAATATAATAATTATTTAAAATATCATATATTATTCTTAAGATTGAGAGCCGATAAAAATATTTCTCATTTGATAATAATTATTCATCATAAAGTTCAATTCATTATTAATTGAGAAAATTTTTAAGTAGCCTTGCTAGATGTCGATAATGTTCAAAGAAGTATTCACAAACCAGAGAGATGACGTAGAAAGGAAAGTTTTGCCGCGGATAAAATCGCTTTTAGTGAAATACGGGCGATGTTTCGCAGTTACTTCTCCGATAACGAGACGTCAAAATAAGAAGCACATTTGATAGTGAATTATGGGAGTAATTATGTAAACGTGTAAACATTACACGAATTTTCGGGTCAAGGCCCAACCTTATCATTCAGTGCGCGATTTGTAGCGCATTACTTTTGCATCGTTTGAAAAGAAACACAAATAACAAACGTGCAATCTCGAGGTTGCCGCGAGTCGGATACGAGGAGGGAACCACAGGTATGCAGAAAAAAATGCATATTGTGCGCGCCAGTTATGCATTATCATCGACTTTCTAATTCCCAGTCGACGCGCGATCGCTCCTTTCGCGACTTTATTATCGAACGCGAGCATGTACGTTTATGATGTAATTTATAATTTAATACAACATCGATCTTTCGTTAGAAAGAACTTCCTTAGAGATATTCGACGATAGAGAAACGTACAAAGAGAATTTATCTCCGATCAAAAAAAAAAAAATAATAATTAGCAAACTCGACGCAGCTGGGGCACAGAAAGGTATCGAATTAATCTTAATCTTCATTCGACTTTACTTTACGTTGAAATAAAACTTTCAACTCCCTCGTCTGACCTATTTGTCGGACTCAAGGCGATCGTTCGGCTGCATTGGCTGCTTGCAGTTTTAAAATATCGAGTGCACCTTTCCGGAGGTTGATAAACATCGACGGTATTAATGTCTGTCTGGCCGACTTTAACAAGGGGGCTCATCCCTATACGATCTCTTGCAGTTTTCCTAGAGCGTCAGTGTCTGAAATCATTTGGCGGAACGACGTCGATTCGTTTTTCGATTCGAACGCGTTTCTCCCATTGTGCCGAGGAAATGAGCTATCGGCGAAGAAAGATAAATGCCTCCCTTCTGCCTCTTTCGCCTTCGTTGTTTCGAAACTTTATGGTTAAGACAGCCGTCAGACTTCTTGGGCCATATACTATCGGACTGCGCTTTCAGTGATCTTCTGTAGAGTGTCGAAGATTTCTCGGATTTATCTCGGACATTCTCTCTAAGCCGAAAAATTCAACGAAAACTTCAAAACAACGGTCGGTCGAACTTGTAAGTGCTCTCTTAAGTACCATTTTATGTTTCAAGTAATCTCATTAAAACTGCAGGCTCGATAAAATATTTAAGATAGATAAAATTCAGAGTAAAAGTGGATTATATGTGAAATGCGTAAAATTCGTAAACCTATATCGAAGGCGATTATATATACTTAAAAGAGGCCCTTAACGCTTGCTCTAAATTAATAATATTGCTTTATCATAATTTTGTCTCGCCTTTATAAGCATAATTATTTAATTATTATAAACATGCACGCTTGCGTTTGTATTAATATCGAGAAAAAAAGTTGTATATTTTTATAAAAGGTCAATTCTTTATAAAAGAAAATGATTTACTTATACGTTATATTAATGAAAGAATGCAGACACACTGCGTTTTAAACGATAACGTCATAAATATATATTGATAAAACGTTATCTTGTAAGTGAAAAGAAAGAAATTTGTATAAAGGGACGAAAAAAAATTATATATAGTCTACAAAATTATTATTCCATTAAATTAATCAATAATATAAATATGACAGATTGCTCTATATAGTATTGACTATTCTATAATATAGGCTGCTTGAAAATCTTATTATTTTTGATGGAGGGATACCTCTCAATATTTCGAGTATTTTTTCACATAATTTTGTCTCGCCTCTATTAGCATAATTATTTAATTATTATAAACATGCATGCTTGCGTTTGTATTAATATCGAGAAAAAAAGTTGTATATTTTTATGTCAATTATTTATAAAAGAAAATGATTTACTTATACGTTATATTAATGAAAGAAACGCGTCATATCGTGTCATAAGAGAAATTATGAGGGAAGTTATCGTGTTTTGCAACCGGTCTCCGCCAGGCCAGAGTGCCACGACATTACTTCGGCCTAGATACTGCTATTCTCCGCATTCCTCCCGTCAGTATGAGACGTAAGAGACGGTAAGTGATTCCGAGTCTGCGTGTCATAATACGAAGTGATCTCATCGCTTAACATGCCGGTATCAACTATTGAATGGAAAGGCGCGTCGAGAGGCAATGAGAATGCCTAGGGGAATAAAATCGATACGGGGTCTTCTGCCAAACCTCGATTTATGAAAACTAACCTGCACGATTTTGCGTATATATACAGGGTGTCCGGTAACTAACGGACCAATGATTAAGCGCGGATTCTCTGGCCAATTTGGAGACGATTTTTTCTTAGCAAAAATGTTGAGAAGTCAATAATTTTCGAGTTATAAGCGATTGAAAAAAATGAGTTTTTTGAAAACTAAACGTTTTGGAGTTAAAAGTCTAACATAATTACATTCTTCAGTTAATTTCAGGTAGAGTTTACTATAATAAAATTTTAATTTGAGGCTTAGTTATAAAGATACATAATGACAAATATTGGAAAGTTGTAAAAAAATGATGACCTTTTTCGACATTTTCGCTGAGGAAAAATCGTTCCCAAATTGACCAAAGAATCCATTTGTAATCGTTGATCCGTTAGTTACCGGACACCCTGTATATATATACATATATACATACGTTACAACGAAAATACGCGAACGCAGATCCGCGCAGATTCCTATCGCGCCGAAAATATATCGACGATTTGCAGGAAAGATACTCTTGGCAGGCGAAAACGCAAACAAACAGTTTATCGATGGAAATGGTTTGTTCGCTATATAGCTACGCAAGTTCGCTCGTATCTCTTGTTTGGTTTTATTTGCGCGTGTAAGCGAAATCATCACTTTGCTTGAACGAAGATGTTTACGCGCGATTCTCTAAAGAGACGAGCCTCGATCAGCGAGGAAAACTACTTGATGCGATATAAAAGCCATCGATCTTTGTTTGTGCTATCCTCAACAAAAATACAGTTCGATCCTTCATAGCGAAATACCGCGGTTCAATAGAATCGTCGTATCGTATCGAAGCAACATATGGTATACTTTTTGGAAATCGGGATAAAACCAAGTATCTCATAAAAATGTGTTACATATCTACGATGTATGTACAAGTGAAAATAAACTATCTAAGTAATGGAAATTGTTTATACATCCTATATTGGAATTTATATCTACTATCCAAATATTTTCTCTCGTTCCTAAAAGCAACATTTATTTATACATCGCAATTTTATTGTTGCGTAAAACAAGCTTAGTTCGTTCCAAAATACAATGAAAATTTATAATTTAAAACAAAAATTCTTATAAAGTTCATTGTTAATCCGATTTTAATATTTTACAGCATCATTTTTATAAAAAAAATGTTTTATGTTCAAACATAATACGCTTGTAATAAATTAATTCTAGGTACGTGCTCTATACGTGCGCTTTTATCATAATAATTACCTCATAGTTGAAGAGAAATCAGTTTTACTACGTGAAAATGCATAGATTTCAATTGTAACAAGTACTCACATGCACAAAGTTGCTTGTTCACGAATAGATACAGCATAAAGAGTACTCACCTGTAAAAAAAGAAAGAGACGAATTAAATAATTATATATAAGAAAATATTCAATGTTTTAAAATAAATAAGTATAGATATTTAATATTTTGTATTTAATTTTTTTTATATACAAATGTATATCTACGTAATAATTAATTGTAAATAAAAATATTGTGATTTTTCGAAAATTTCCTCACTTTCCAATCACAAAAGTTTTCTAAAATAGATTTATTTTTAAGCCTTGGCATAAGGATTAAAAGTCGCCGCGCGTATTGAAAATTCCCTATAAAACTTTTTGTACTCGGTGCCTTTCGAATGCAAAAGGTTAATTAGAAAAGTTAAATAGAGCAAAATATGTAAAGTATATTTAACTCTTGGCTGTAGAGTCGCCATTGAAAACTTTTTATCAAACCCGAAGTTTTACAAGAGACTTGAAATTTATTTTTCCCCATCATTTGAATTCTACACGTATTTCACACGTTTTTTTACAACATATAATTCTTCACATCCTACGTGATCGATGTTTTCATTTAATCTTAAGATAAGCGCGAAAGCGGGAAAGGAATGCCTCGAATATTGCAACTCTTGCATATATATATATAACTTCGGAACAGAATGCTCGTTCGCGTTTGCAATCGCGAATCGATAAATCGCAGGCGCAATTGTTTATTGCTGGTGCGATATCCAAGACTGGTATGCATATTTCTCAATGTAACCGTTTTTGCAGACACGTGTCCGTCGAGGGCGTGCAATGCAAAACATGAGCGCAGAACGTGCGCCATTGTCCTCCTGCGAGCTATCGCGCGCGTGTCTCGCAAACGCGACTATCTCGCACGCGTGTTCGCTTTATTTCTGTCGGGTGCTCTCGCATCCGAGATATGCAAGAAAGTTATTCATGGCGTTCGCCCCATTCAGCCTCCCACGCTCGACACACGGACGACAGCCGGGAAACGAGAGTGAAGGGGATACGAAATCTCGTGCTTTTTCGAAAAGGAGAGAGAAAAAAGATTCGTCCTTTCGTCACGCAAGATTCGACAAATGCTTCCGATCGCGCGGATAAAACTAGTCGCTTATCCCGTCACTTTGTATTCACGGCGCGCTGCCCGCCATTTTTTCGGTCGCTTCCGTTCGGCGCACGGAAGCGCGACGAATTCCACGACATCGAAAGCGCACGACTTCGATTTATTGGCGTGCCGATAGAATTAAAATTTACGCTTGAAAGAACGTTACTCTTAATTGTGAGATAATGCGATGGAAGAAAATGGATGTGAACTTCAACACCCAGGCCACAAACTGATATTGAATTTTCTAATATTTCAACCATATGCTCCGACAAATTTCAAAGTATTTTATTTTATTTCATTTGCTTTACTCTTAGACTATCGTAATAAATTCCTATCCGATAAAGATCCATTAATAAATGTGTAATTTATTATTTGTATATATCATTGTTACTTAATTTCATCACTTAACAAAACATGAATACTATTATATACATCGGCGCTAATAAGATATTCTGCTAATGATATTAATTTTTCACGGTTTGCAATCCTTCTTCTTTATCTTCGATAAATATATATACGCAAACCGCTTGTCTTTTCCATCAAGCATTTTAATGCCCTTGATGAAAAAAAAAAAAAAAAAAATGAAAAGAAAACAGCGAGAAAAGAAAAGAGAAACAAATTCTAACAATGCAGAAGAGATAATGTTATTCCGGTTTTCTTATGCGGCAAAAGTCTTGATGATATCCGATACACCAGCGCGCAGTATGCATGGCAAATTGCACAAAGATATCTGCTGGTAGGCTTGTTTGTTCGCGAGGGTGTCCTTGAACGCGAGCAGCGCCGAATGAAAGGGTTGTTCGAAATTGGAGTAATTCATCAAAAGCCGGCTGTACGAGAAGATCGCGGATTTTCGCGGATTATCTCGAGCCAACTACAGCGGAACAATTGTCGACTCTATTAGACGACGAGCGAGAATTCCTCGGCGGAGAACCGATCGACGAAGAGACTCGTTGGGGCGAAGCAATGACCGAGCCGGAGCTTTCTTGCATGCATGATTAGACGAGGCCTGTAAAACCTCGCGGAACCTGTTTGAAACCCCATGAACGCGTTCACGCGAATCAAAGAAAGAGAGAGAGAGACTCGTTCATTCAGGTGTGTCTGGTTATAAATAGAATTCCCGGAAGGCGGCCGCAGCAGCCGATCTTCTTCTCCTTAAGGTAGTTCTATCGCTACAATATCAACTAAAAGTTTCGCCTCTAATCGATAAGGAAATTCATCGTTTATATACAATGTTACCGTAGCAACAATTTTAGTTGAGTCTGTACAGTCTGAACCTCTTCACATAGAAACAGCTTATGTATGAATACACATCATCATTGCAATTTCTCTCCATGTTCCGTTTAGAAAAAAATTCATTTCTTTAAAAAGTAATATCTTTGAAACTAAACGGTGGAAAAAATTTATTTTTTTTTTTAAATAATCCCACACTCATATTGTATATCCCACTGGTTTTTTATTAAAATCGTAAGATCCGTTCTATTGTTATATATTAAAATGTGATGAAAATGCCATCCTTTCAAGTGGTGTATAGAAAAAATGCTATTTTTAATTGTAAATAACTGTTAAACTAAACGGTGAATCGACTTCAAAATTTCGTAATCGATAGATATTAACTCCGTCTACAACATATTAAAATTTCTAAAAATTCGTAAGAATTGTGAAAAACGATAGAACTACCTTAAAGTAAAGCGCCGCGCCTTTCAAGCATGGTTTTCCAGCTCATACGCGACGCTCGATCAAAGATTCTTATACTCATTAACAGCGATAAATCTGTGCGCGGCATTTCGATGCTACATAGATACAGAATCTGTAGTCTCTATGTTTACTTTCGATAACAGAAACGTTTCATCCCGTACACTAAACAAAATTTATTAAATTCGAATATTTATCTCAATATTGCCTGATAAATCATTTATTTGAAATTAATAATATAGATTTGATGTGAAAAATATTTATTTGATATAAGAAAATCCTTTCAAAACATAAATATTTATTTGTTTCAAATAAATGATTGGTATTAAGCAGTATTGAAATAAATATTTATTAATTTAATAATTTTTTTCAGTGTACAAACTGCATTTTTCGACGTGTTTATTATAATTGATTTTCAAATTACTGCGTTTAATATTAAAAAACCTGAGCAAATTTTAATGAGCCACTGACAAAGAGATGAAAAAGAGGGATATTTGTTTCCTTCTCATCTCTTTATCAATATTAGTATTGCGGGTTATCAAAAAAAAAAAAGATTATAATTCGCTGTGTAAAAGAGCAACTCCTTGTCACGCCATATATCTTGGCTCAGATAATAATAATCTTGTATGAGATTTCTTTAACGATAATGATAATCCTAGATAAATTTTCTCTATATGGACAAGAGAGAATCCTCTAAATCCTCCTTCCTTAATATCAGACAACGCGATAATTCCGTGTCGCATTATTTGCGTTGGCGGCGTTATTTAACTGCATACGATATCGTGCGATAAAATATACATTGCATTATTTAATTCCCACAAAATCAACGCGCATGCAAGGCTGCACGCGCGATTATCGCATTAGCGAAAATCACCGTAGTACGACAAATCGTTTATATAAAACGCGTACAAACGAAATCTACGATCTCGGAGAAAAATATGGTAAGAGGCAACCGAGTTATATCCATCGTTTCTGTTCGGATCGAAATTAGAATTCGACGAGAAGATCGGAATGCTCGGATCAAACGGGATTTTACTCGCGCGAAATCGCTCGTAAACCACATTTAGAAAAGTCGCATGGTTCGTGTGTGTTCTGGCATTGAAATCGGCGCGAAATCCGTAAAATCATTAATCACGGCTGTGGTTTATTGTGCTTGGTCGGCGAATCGAAAGCTGCAATGTCGACGAAAAATCAATCGCTACCGAAAATCTGAGAGAAAATGTTACTCTCGGCGTGGAAGAGAGTCTCATTTTTCTCAGAAAAATTCCATTTCAAAATAAAAATGTATTTTCCTTTCAAAGAAATGCACAAATGCTTTTCCTTGCAAAGTGGAACAAAAAGGAGAAAGAAGTATATATGTATATGTATATATAGATTTAGCCCGCGCGCTCTGAAACAATTTCTTTTAAGCGCGGTGATAAACACAAAATAATACTACGATGATGTGAACTTGATGGTTACAAAAATAGTATCAGAATAATTCCAATCGGAAAAACAATGCTAAGAGAGTAATGTTAAAATAATTCGCGGATTTGCGAATAAATATAATATAATAATATGAAACAGAGATACGACCAATTATACACATATGCGTAAGTATATATTTAAAAAAAAAAAAAAAAAAGAGAAAACGATGCCAGATTACAAAAGATTTGTTGCGGCGCGGCGTATTAAAAAATTGGAAAAAGAAAGACGAAGAAGACGCGTATAAAAAGCGGGAAACCGGAGTCGTAGAACGCGAAGTACGACGTCGAACCGGTCGAACCGCTCAAGAACAACCGCATTCCAGAGGATTTCCACAAGATTCTCGGCCGGCGAAGCATCCCCTTTGGAGCATCTTGTTGCAAGATCGCGGGCAATCACGAGATAACGAGGACTCCGGGAAAACTATTTTCGGCGAGCCCGTAACGGCGCGCTTTTACGACGAGAAATTGGAGCACGTCATATTTCAAGGATATGTCCGCGCGCGTTCAATAGAAGCGAGATCGAACGTCGCAACACACGTCCGCGTGCAGCTGCGTTATTGTTAGGAGCCTGCATTATGACAGGGCGTTCTTATTCGCCGACGTCGATCATCTCTATATTTGACATTCCGTGAATAAAGGAAATGAGATTCTGAACGCGATCGAAATTAATTCACGGATCATTGATTGACTGTCATTTACATTTTTTCACGTGTCAATCGCTCCCTCTCTTTCTCTATCCACCCCCTTCTTTTCACGTTCGCGGACGCGGAAATCAAATATCCGATAATTCGCGAGTT